GCTCTACTTCCTAATGCAAATTTATAGTAACTAAGTAAAAGTGATGAAAGTTTTTAAGCTTAAAAGCGTCAGTATGGAACTTACCTAGTGTCTCAGGAAATATAATTCTTCATTGAAATACCACTTACAATTACTCACAATATAACTAATTTCAGAACTTAGGAACTTTCTACATCTATTTTGTTTTGAATCTTGTTTTGAAAACTTTCTAATTTGCCAAAATACCTCAAAGTCAAAGAACCGATTCTTGCAGTCAGTCACGAGGCACGCTATTTTCTATTTTTCTTTGTTTCGAATTCCAAGAAACATGGAAAGTAAATCAGGTTTTGAGCCTTTTTTAGAATTTGCCTGGTGTTTACGGAAATAGATTTCTTCACTAAATTAGCAATAGCACGGCTTTCAGTTCAGTTTTTATTATTGCACACTATTTACAGAAAAACAACTTAACTTAAGATGGTTATAGTATAGAACACGCAGTTATAGTATAGAACATCGCTATCATGGTACTGTCAGGGCAGAAGACTATTGTTACCACGTAGAACGAGCGGAAGTAATTTTTCAATATTTCACTTCCGTTGTAAAGCGGAGAGCATTCTGGGATCTCACAGGCAGATGTCGATGTTTTGATGTTGTGAAAATGTCGTCGGCGGGTTGGAGAAAGAAACATAATCTTAGAAGCCCAGGATAACAAACAAACATGAAGAAGAAGAAGTTTAAGTTTGACGTTAACTTTAAGTTAAATCAACTATCAAGTGTTCCGTTCGTGAGCGGCGTCCTTTTCGCCAAAATGAGGTTACTGGAAGGTGGAAATTTCACGAGCTTTTCAACGAGGTATAAAGCTTATTAGTTGTTGAGTACTGTGAGAAAGGGCACGTCTGTTAACGGGGTATTTTTTGTTAATTTCTTCATTGTTTTAATGCTTTTCTCTTCTTTAAGGGAGGAAGTTGGCAACCACTGCGTGAAGTGGGGAAAGGACGTAACCTTTCCGTGCAAAATGACTGCGAATGTCTCTACTGGAGTTTTAGATACGTGTAGTTACAGAGTGTCCATTCGAAAGGTAGGCGGCCGGCGAATGTCGCTCTTAATCCTCGCACTAGTTAAAAGATTCTCAAGGATTTTGCCGTTTTTTTCTTGTAATTGCTACTGATTTTACTGTTTTACGCTTCTCGCAAGTTTCCTACTTGTATATTGTGGTAATTTTTATTGATGTTTTGTTTTGCAATTTTTTAGTCGCCCGGGGCTCCCAGCCAGTGGTGCTGCCAAATTTTATGAGCCACCTGCAAGTCGAGTTTTTTTTACTGAGGATAGAAAGCACTCTTGGCAAAGCTTTTCTGGCCCGATTAAAGGACTTTCTCTCGGTTCTATCGATAGCTGTTATCATTTCCTTGATTTTGGGACTCGAAGGATGAATATCGATGACGGAAGAATTGTGAACGTGTCCGTTTAGGCGAAAATAAAATCCCGCGATCTGAACTTTGTCCCGATGATTGGAATAACTTTGAAGCTTACTTGTCACACTGGAAAAATTTTAGCTAGCGTTATTTCTTCTTTATCTCAGCACTATTCTTCATGCGTTTTGCTGACACTTTATTTTTCTAATATCATGGTTCGTTGTTGTCGTTAAGCTTGATTTGTTGTTCTGGAACGACCGAGTAAATCTTGAATGTATTACTCAAAACTTGTAAATCAGTTGTCAATGATTGATTCAGGACATTCTAATCCATTTTTCATAGATTCTTTTAAGGTTTTTAATCTACTGTACCTAAAATGAAGGGAATTATTTAAGTCCCTCCATGATCGTGCAATAAGTTTCGTTTATATTGCCCGGTGATGGTTAAGTCGAACAACGCATATGGTGTTGCTTCCGAAAATGTCAAGACTTCGGGTCATTTTAACCGCACAATAGTCTATTTATACCTTGTAGCTTGACTCATGCAAAAAGTGAAGGAAATTTTCCTTTCGCGAATAATCGATTGTCAAATTTCTGGAATGAATTTTACATAATTAACCAGCAAGTTTTTGCTATTATTTTCTTTACTTTGAAGAAGGAATTGCTGTCATTGCATGTGCTTCCGATCGAGTCGATTGCCATGTTTCCTGTCGTAACATGTATATCTCAGTACGAAAGAGCAAAGCATGTGCACGGTTTAAAATTGTCCTCTTCAGTTTTGTGTCAATGGTCTTTAGTTAAGCAATTTTCAGGGATAAATTCGTTTTGCTAAATATACCTGAATGAATACTGGAAATATCGTTGTAGTCTATGCATAAGCTAAATTTCAGCAGTAGAGACTAGAAATTACGTTTATTGCTCCTTTATCAAGCTATTCATGTAATTCTAGCCCTGAAAGTCCGAAGTATGTTTATTTTATTAAAGGCCTATAAATTTTAATCAAAAGTAATGTTTATTGCTATGTAAGTAATTTTTCTGGCTCAGTAACAGATAACTAGATATTTGTTGAGTCTAACAAGTATTTAAATTCTGGGTCTTATGCTGATTATGAAAAAGTTTTATATTATTTTAGTTTAATTTGTGGAATAATTTTACCTTGATGAGGATTTTTTTTCTTTTGAGCTTTGTCAGCCTCTATTCATTGCAACATAAATATTTGCATATGATTGCAATCTACTTCACTCAAACCAGACACATATTCTTGGCTAAATACTTCTTGTATTATCAGTATATCATGTCTCAAAAAACTGTAAGTTGGTTTTATCTGTTATATCAGTCTACAGAGTTAATTTGTTAGCTTGATATTTGCAAATTTGGATAGATTTAACAAGTTGGAGAGTCTTTGATTGACAAGTCAGTAACCATACAATGTATTACTGGTAAAACTGTTTAGAGAGCTTGGTGTCACCTTTTCAGTAGCACACTTCATGAATGCCATTGAAGACCAGGTAAAGTTCTATGCAGATATTCTTACAACTATACATACATGTGTGGCTTAAAGCATATACACTACATGCAGTGGGTATATAAGTTTAAATCAATATTTTACACTTTCAGTTTAAAAGACTAGGTTGTTGCTTGTTATTGCGGGCACCTTGTATTAAGTTAAAAATGTTATTTTAATGCAGACAATACATGTACATGAACGAGACAGTACATATACATGTACATGAATTAAGTTGTTTCTTTCGCTGTAGAGAGGTTAACCTTCCTTCAGGATGTGTTCAAGGAAGGTTACATCCTGTGACTGGCACCAGATTAGAATTAATCTTGTCTGTCCTTAATTTTGATAGCATCAGTCTTGTATTTGAAGCATCTGTGCTATGAAAACATTATTCATCATCAGGAAACACATAATTATAATTGTTTTGTTATTCAACTTCAGTGAGACTTTCTTCTCTTTAGCAAGTGGTTGCCCAAAATGGCATTAAATTCTGCCTTACTGTAACAGTACACTTTAGTGGGCTATATCACAATCAAAGCTTCATTTTATGTTGTTTAAACAAACAATTGCTTTTTAAGCCTAATCCCAGTGTGGTTTAAATTATTGTTTGCTCTAAGTATGCTAATAAGGAAGAAAAAGGTAAGCAGATCAGAAGTAATTCTGGAGACAGATATTTGGTGATATCCTTCGGTATATCAAAACTTGTGAAGTGTGACCTGTCTCTATCATGGTTTCAATTCAACTTTGTTTATATAAAATACCACCCTGGAAATGTTAAATTACTGCTGTACATTTAGTTATATTATATATACAGAGCATAAAATTGACTTTTGTAACAACCAGTAAATCAGTTTAAGCCATTTTGAAATTAAGTCATGAATGAAAATATTTACAGTGTTTAATCTGTTGATAGATGAATAGTCATTTCTGGGATGTCATTGTGCCTCGAGATGAGTTTTCCTTTAAATCCATTCATAAAACATTTGTGTCACCTGCATGTTCATTTTCATGTAAGTCAAACTCATTTTCATTGTGTGTCATTTTGCACAAGCACTCATTTTCAAACAGATACTAAATGCAAGTACTTGGAAATGGCTTACTGTATGTCTGGAGACAAACGTAATACCAAATTTATTCTTAGACTGAGTGGTATACATTGTAATTGATGTGTATCCTTCTCAGACAGGGTAAATATTTTTTTAGGAATTTACTTGTATTGTCAGTTTAAATGCATATTTTTCCAAACCTTTAATCACAGTAAAACTAATAACGCATATAGGCACTTAAAAGCTTTTCATATAGCTTATCAGTAATATGTAACCTTTTGAAAAATATATATAAACTGTCTGAGCAGGATATGTCATTTAAGACCTACCAGGACTGGTTTCATTTACATTTACATTTACAAGTGTCTTGGTTAAATGTTATTTCAATTAGCGATTAATCAGCTAAGGGTTTTGAATACATTTTCCACCTTGTGTGGTATAATTGCTTAGAATACTAGGTTAGAATAAGAACAGTTGTTGTTCATGTGGTCTTACGCCAAATGAGTGTAATTTTCTTTGTTAATCAGCCACTGTAAAAAGTTGTTTTATTATGAGAAGACATGCTAACTTTCAAAATAATATTACTTTTTGTTAATATTTAAGGCAGGTTGAATTTCAACTACCATTTCAAATTTCACTTTTAAGTTGCAATGGTCGGCATTTTCAGCAATGATAGCTCAGTAATTTTTTGTGAAAGTTGAAAGACTTCCTTTTATTTTACGGGTTTTTTTTTAAGGTTGAAAATTTGTCATTTATTTGATAGATGTAGTAGAAATAATTTACATGTATTTTTTTTTCCTCCCTTTGTAATTATATTTCTGATCATAAAGTACCTACATTGTAAACAACACATCTGAAGGTTTTTCAGGGTGTCAGTGAATGTAAACCTACATGTACATGTAGTTCATGACTTGGGTAATATATTGAAAGAGTTCATCAGCTACAAGTGAATATATAAAAGATTATCTATTTGAACTGCAGAGAAAGATATCATATGAAGACATGGTTGATCATCGGAGTTATAACTTAATAAGTAGTGATGTAAAGTTTATATGAAATATTTCATATATGAACTGCGGTTATAGATGAAAGTGAAGAATGATCATCGCAGTAGTTGTGAAATTGCTTAATATAATAAGTTGTATGTATAATTGCGATGATCAATCCTGTCTTCAGTACATCAGCTGTAGGTAATTTACTCTATGACAGCTGTTTGTATTGTACATTCTACCCTGATGTAACTTAGTAATTAAATTAACAGTAACCATAATGACCTTGTTCAACTTGGCTCTCAAGAGATTGTTTACTTGTTTGCATTATAGGAAACCAAAGGGGGCAAAGCTCACATAAAGGTATGGAAAACTTTAGATTCCTGACCACCAATTTAGTTTAGATTTGCTGCTTGTAATTAAATTATTTTCAATTTTGGCAATGTTCAAATAGCTGTTTTTCATTTCTGTATTTAATAGACACATTGGAACGTGAGAACTAAATGTTTAACAAAATTTACAGACTGATAGTTTGACAACAGAATGTTGTTAACTAGTAATGTTTAATTTCAACTGCAGACAATTACATGTAATTATAATCTGTGAACACCTTGAGTAAAAGTATTGTATGGTGAAACATTAGCTTCCACAACCCTCTCTGTAAGTCTCTTACACAGTCCAGAAGGGTTGTGGTGGTCAGGAGAAAAATTCTTGAAGGTCAGGGAAATGTCTGGGAATTTAAATTTAAGTCAAGAAAAATTGACATTTTCTTCAAAAGTCAGGAAAAACTGATTTTGGTCTATACCACTGAAGGCAGGAAGATGTATCTCAGCAATGTCACTGTATCTCTGCAATGTTTTTCCTTGATGAAAAAGACAAATTTGTTGAAAGCTTATTAGTCGTAGAGAAAATGGTGGAAAGGACGGTTGAAGGGGAGGCTAGAGATGGCTACCATAGTAATTAATATATATCTGGCATTTTGTATTTACTTTGTCAGGAAACTATAATATTATTAAATAAATTTTGAAAACTGATGTCTTCGGCAACCATGACAGTGAACTGTCGTAATTTTCATTGACAGACAACAGTTCTCCATTCTAATGTTTCTTTCTTGAAAAGCAGCTGTGAACTCAACTACTCCCCACCCCCTCCCCCACTTCTGCAAAAAAGAATTTTAACCACAAAGGAAAGACATGTATACCGTTGCATCAATTGGCATACACTGTACTATTAATATTTGTGAGCTTTTCTATAAATTAATTATTAATGAAGAATGCTTTAATTTAAATTTTTTTTCCCAGCTTGGCTTTGTGGACATCAACCTTGCAGAGTTTGCTGGATCAGCTTCATTTACTACAAAGCGATATATATTGGAGGGGTATGAAGACAAGACTTTGCGACAGGACAACTCTATTCTTGAGGTATTTTACACTATGTTGTGAACTACTGTGTTTTGTGAACTATGTTTTGTGAACTGATCAACATGACACAAGCGTGGGACAAAGAAAAATCTGAGACCCCAACAGGAATCAAACCTCTGACCTCCCGAACACCAGGCGGGTGCTCTATCCACTGAGCTACGGGAACTCATGGAGAGCAAGGTCATTAAGGTCATTTAGCTGAGTTAATATGTGGCAAGTGTCCTGCATACTGCTAGGATCAGCACTGTCGAAGTCTTCCTGAGTGTGATAAATGAATAAAGATGGTGAATTTTAAGCGCAGTAATGAAATGTGAAAAGTGAACTACTAAACATGACACAAGTGTGGGACAAAGAAAAAGTCTGAGTCCCCGGCAGGAATCAAACCCATGACCTCCCGCACACTGGGCGGGCACTCTATCTACTGAGCTACGAGAACTCATGGAGAGCAAGGTCATTTAACTAAGTTGTGTTGTTAGAAAAATGTATTTCCTTTTTTTTTTCTTTTTGCAAAATATTGTGCTACAAATATATCTTTTTAGAAACCTTGAGAATAATATTGTAAACACAGGCTAGTACAGAAATCTCATGAGAGATCTTTTTTGCCACTTAGTGTCAGTGTAGGAGAAACTGCTCGCTTGGTAGATGTGCCCAGTAGTTTTACTTAATTAGTTCTTTTTATCATTTTTGAAGGAAAAAAATTAATGAGAATGTTGGTCCTTATAGTGACTTTGCAGTGGTTGCACAGTCTGTACGTAAGCTTTACATCTCATTTATTTTCAATTGCTTACGTGTGTTTAAGGTTGAAGTTAGCATGCAGCTCACATCAGGAGATCCACTTTTTAAAGTGTAAGTACACAACTGAAGACTTGCTTTTAATTATTTTTCTACACTATGGCATATAGAGGATACATTGTGAATTGTCCCTCTAAGAAAAGGTCTCATCAGTATCATGTGAATTTTTCTTCCAAAGGCCTTATGCACCTTCACACAATCAAATAACTACAGAAACTGCAGAAAACAGAGCACCACCCTCTGACCATCCTGTTGAGGACTCAACAAACAACTCAACTGCAGGGGCTGAGGCAGGGAAATCAATCCTCAGCAGTAGCCCAGAAAGTGCGGCAGAAAGCCAGGATGCTGCTGGCAGTGATCCTGACAAAGTGTCATTCATTCCTGGGCATGCACGCAGCTTCAGTGAACCAGCGTGCAGCAGTAACAACAGTAGCCATGTCAGGAGCACCAGTCAATTGTCACGGATATCAGGGTACTCTACTGGTCATTCTTTTTCATCCAGCTTGGAGGGGAGATCTAGTAGGAGGTATTCTATATTAGAATGGTGTTGGCATACTGAAGTGGCATGCACTCACCATTTCTTTACATGCCTTTTTGTTTAGCTTGTGTTCAAGAACATTTTATTTGAAAATTTTCTGTTTTTTTTTTTTGTTTGTTTGTTTGTTTGTTAGAACTTACACACTGCTAAACATTTTTGTTTCTTTCCTTTGAATTTCTTCTGCCACTTCTGCCACTCTTTAATTTTTTTTTTTTTTTGCAAAGAATGATTTATTGTTCAAGTATGCAGCACCATTGGGTTTTAAAAGTTAGTTCATGTTATGTAACGTTGGGTAAATGCCAGCTACTAACACTTTTAAAACCCCCAATATTTCTGATTAACAAATATTGTATTAGATTACCAGGTTGAGATTTCTAATATATTACCAAGTAGCTTGTAGATTTCTATACATCAATATGTGTTAATATAAGCTTCATAAATGATGTACCAGTATCTAATCAGTATCTAATATGTAAAGTCACTGCCCTGAAGTTATACTGTAGTTAAGTACTAATTACTGTTGTCAATTTATGCAGGAAACAGAGTTCAGGATCAGGACATGTTAAACACTCAGGCTGTATCCTTTAATCCATTGTTTTATATAATTATACACAATTTCTTGTATTTTTTTTTTCATGTAAAAAGCGGCCCAAGAGTGTCTACATGCACCTGGCAGATTTGATGTGGAGGGAAAAAAGATTTGGAAGATTGGGGGAGGGGGA